AACAAAATTTTGCTGGGAAACTGAAATACGTATTAGCAGGAGGGGGTGGAAAGGCACACTTTTAAAAGTTGTATGCTTCACTAATGCGATATAAAAAGAGGAAGATAGGGGTGTTCACGTGGCTCAGTCAGTTAAGCACTGAACTCTTGATTTCAGCTTGGGTCATGATCTCACAGTTACTGAGTTGGAGCTCCACATCAGGCTCTGAGCTGACAGCTTAGGGCCTGCTTAGGGTTCTCTCTCTCCCTCTCTCTCTCTCTCTCTGCACCTTCCTGCCCCCCCCCCAATCATGCTTGAGCACTCGCTCTCTCTCTCTCAAAACTAAATAAATAGGGGCGCCTGGGTGGCTCAGTCGGTTAAGCATCCGACTTCGGCTCAGGTCACGATCTCATGGTCCGTGAGTTCGAGCCCCGCGTCGGGCTCTGTGCTGACAGCTCAGAGCCTGGAGCCTGCTTTGGATTCTGTGTCTCCCTCTCTCTCTCTGCTCCTCCCCGGTTCATGCTCTGTCTCTCTCTGTCTCAAAAATAAAAAAAAACATTTAAAAATAAATAAATAAATAAACTTTAAAAAAAAAAAGCTGTGTTGCATCTGTTCTGCTAGCCTTGGTAGTTAACCAAGCTTACCAAGCTGAAGCCTTGAACCTCACAGGTTGGGGACAGAGCTGATCACTGTCAATAGGCCCTGGAGAAGGACACTGCTGAGAACCCAATATTCTAAGATCCACCCATCAAATGCTGCTACTATTGCTCTTACTGTAGCCCCCTTCTTGACAGAAATTTAAGAGATTTTACAATGAGCAGAACTGTTAAGTTACTTTGGAGACCTTAGTGAAAACTAGTAAAGCAGTATTAACATTTTCACTTCTTTCATTGGAATTTCCTCTTTCCATAGTTAAGCCCTAATTTATTAAAGAGGGAAGTTATTTCCATGTCTATCTCAGTATACAGTCATCTCTATTCATTAGGAGGATGTTAAAGTATCTTAAATCAACATCTCTCATTTGACTCACAACAGTGCCCAGACATGATGCAGTCAAACTACATCACTCCACGTTTAGCCACGAAAACTAAGGGACTGACCACATCCCTTTCAGCTCTAACAGACTATACCTCACCTTCCTTTTCCTATTGTCACACACTCCTTTCTCCCCTCCTCCTGTGCTTATGACTGAGACCAGTAGTTCTCACATTAGAATTACCCGGCATGCTTTAAAGTAAATCCTAAGGATTTAGTCCTGTATTAAACACCCATAACCCCCAGTATCACTTTTCACCTACCTTAATGGTTCTAAGAACTGGGCACAGTAGTCAAGGGAAAAAAGCACTGAATTAAGGGTCAAAAATTTTATTACATTCAAGCCCTTGAGCAATCAGTTCAGCTCTTCACAAACTCCCTCATCTGTAAAAAAGTAACACTTATCTACTTCAGGAGTGTCCCGAGGATTCAATAAAAGTGCCCACACGTAAAGGCTTTAGTAGAGGGAAAAGGTGCTGAACAAAGCAAAGGGTGGTAGGTAGTATTACTGACATTCCCACTGCTTTTCTGATTTGTACCCTTTTGACATTCCCAGTCCTTGGGCAGAACTTAAATATGGACATACAGAAAAATTTTACAAATCCTTTAAGGCAGAAGCATCGTTCATGAATCCTCCTCATGTATTTTCATACTCAGCACCTAAACTTCCACCTTAGCTTCTCTTCCTGTTGCCCACTGCATCACCCTCAGGCCACTCCTTGAAGGCCAAGGTGGGCCTTATTCATTTCTACCTTCCACCAGGAAAGGGTAAAATAAATGTTGCAAAACAAATAATGCCTTGGTGGACATTTACATGTAGTTACCATTCTGCATGCTTATCCCAAATCCTTATTGAATTTATGCTAAAGAGGAAAACTAACATTTTCAACAGTAAAAAAAAAAAAAAAAAGACTGAAATCCTACATAAATGCAAAAGGAGTTTGTTTTTGTAATCTGTTAAGTGAAAGTTTCAAGCTGTAGCAGCAGATGGCAAGAATATAAGCTAACCTGAGAACTCTGCAACTCCAGGCCTGCACCTTCTCTGCGTGGGGTAGGGATGCCACGCGCAGAAGGCGGCGGGAAATCCCCACTCACCTGTACAGGTCGTAGCCCGCGGCCCGCGCGGACCCCTTGCTCGGGGCGGTGGCGTGCTCCGAGAGCCGGACAAAGCGGAGCCGCATGGCGTCCTCCGCAGGCCGAGCCCGCTTGCTGGGGGAGATGGTGGGTGTCGCTTCAGAGCAGGGCATGGCAGAGCAGAACGAGAGAAAAGAGGGAACAAGTGGACTCAGAATGAGTCCAGCCGCCAAAAATGTAAATCTCCCGCCAACAACTCCTCGCCCCGCCCACCGACCCCCGGACGAGCCCACAGTTCTGGCTGAGAGGGGAGGCGAGATTTAAACCCTTCTTGGAAAGCGGATTTGGGAAACTACTGCGCCTTTTCAAGTTTTTCCAACTCAGCGCACGGATCCAACCTGCGCGGGGACGGCCTCGGTGGCTTCCCGCACACACAACAGGAAGGAAGCATTTCCCTAGGGGCTGCTCAGGCTCCCACACCGCTCAGACCACCGCGGCTTGCTCGGGGCCCGCCCGCTGGTCTCCTCATCTCCCTCCTCCTCCTGCTCCTCCTCCTCCTCCTCCCCCAACCTGGGCGGCCCTGGGGAGGGGCGGCCGGGCTCCCAGCCTCCCCACTCCCTGCAAGGGGTGTCCTGTCAGTCTGGGCCCCGACATTACTGGCGCCGCGGCAGCCCCGACTCAGGCTGCGAGTGCTGGACAGCGGCCGGGGCGGCCCCGCGGCCTCTGCTCTCGGCGCTGCGCTGCGCGCGTCTTTAAACACTGAGCGGAGCAAACACGGAAAGAGATGGTAGCCGAGAGCCGGGCGAGGGCAGACGGGAGTCATTTGCCCCGAAGTTTGGGCGCTGGTTGGCTGGCCCGCTCCCGCAGGCGCTCTCCGGGTCTGCACCCTAAAGATACGTCCGGGTAAAATGACCTCGGAAGCAGTAACCGCCGCCGCGGTCTGACGAAGAGCGCAAGGAGGCGGCGCATGGACCGCCCTCGGGCTGGCGCAGGCTCTGGGCCCCCGGGAACGAGGTCTCCGCCTGCCTCCTTGGACCCTCATCTTTTTTGTGGTCTCTGTTTTCCAAGGCTATCCGCGAGGCTCGGGGCCTGGGCCCTGCGCGCTGTTGAGTTACCTGGGGCGGCGCCCCCCGCGGCCATGGCTCCGCAGGTTCTAATCTCAGGGGTCCCCAAAGCAACGGAACCGCACCACAGTGCAGATGACGGCCGCGGAGCTCAGTGCTACGTCCCAGGCCATAGGCCAGGCAGCGTGTTCCATTCCTTACAGTACCCACAGTGCATGGCGTGTTGTTTACCCTTCAAGGGGGCGGGGGCAAGCATCTCCGGATGATCCCAAGGATAATTCAGTTGAAATCCTAGCACTGTTTCATATGACCCCACAGAAACACAGAGGGGGGACCCCAGTGCCTGGGATTCGAACGAAGATCCTGGGCTACCCTGGAATAATTTACAATGGGGATGAGGAAATAACTTTCTAGATAATTGTAAATTGACTTTTCTAGTATATAAATATCTCTAGTTATTTCCAGAACTGATGCAAAAATCTGAAAACTAAAATGAAACGCACCTTGTCAAGATAAACGCAAACAATAGGTCAGTTTTAGAAAAATGACAGAAACGTTAGGGTATTGTTGAGGAAGTTTCCAGACTTCCCTGCTGTGCCTTTCCTTATTGGCCCCACCTCTGCAGTCTCTTACTGGTTCCATTTAAATGTTGGAATTCCTCCGGATGAAGTTATGGATTATACTCCACACTCTCTTCTCTTGCCTTTAAACATCTACCACTTAAAGACTCCCCAAACTGATATCTATAACAACATGATATGGGTCCTGCTACTTCTCTAACCTCATCTAGAGCCATCATCCTGCTCACCTCTGGTGCTTCTGGCCACAGTGGCTTTCTAACCGTTTCTAGACCCACCAGACTTACTGCCTGGGAGTCTATACACACCCGTCCTTAGTTTATGTTTCATGTGTTTCCAGTCTCAGCTCATCTCAGAAGGGCTATTTCTGTTAAGGGAAGTCCCTCACCACCATTTTCTATCACAATAATTTTTTCTAGTCACATCACTTATTACTACAATCTGTATTTTCACTCATGTCTTATGTATGTATGTATTTTTTTTAAATTTTTTTTCAATGTTTATTTATTTTTGGGACAGAGAGAGACAGAGCATGAACGGGGGAGGGGCAGAGAGAGAGGGAGACACAGAATCGGAAACAGGCTCCAGGCTCTGAGCCATCAGCCCAGAGCCTGATGCGGGGCTCGAACTCACGGACCGCGAGATCGTGACCTGGCTGAAGTCGGACGCTTAACCGACTGCGCCACCCAGGCGCCCCTGTATGTATGTATTTTTGCTTGTTGGCTATGTGTTCTAGTAGACATAAGCTCCAGAGGACAGTGACCACATATGTTTTCATTCACTAATGTATTCCTGGGGCCTAGCTTAGTGCCTGGATCAGAACAGTGCTTGATAAATATTTGTTGTATGAATGAAAGAGATCTTCTTGCTTGTTCTGTCAGGCCCCTGTATAGGATCACTTCTCAAAATCTTTTGATTTTCCTGTTTACCCCTTTAATTTGTAATCAATTGTGTTTTGTTTTGTTTTTCCATGTAATGTTTTTTCAAGGCCTGCAATGAAAAACTGGCCTACCCCTCCACCAAAACACTCCCCCAAAGTTCACTCCTCAGGGGCAATGCTTCCAACTTTTTTGGCTCTTTCTTCTGGAATGTAACCCCCTGTTTCTAAATCGCATGTTGCTATTTTTTTAGTGGCATAAAAATTATCTTTAAAATTAGGGTAGTTGAGGATTAAGTCTTTTACTCCTCTTTCCACCCCATTCTGCAAATAGTTCTGTAGCAATATTTGGATAAGTCAGTAGTATTTATCATGACTGTGTAAATATCATTCACTGTTGAGATGAGTAATGTGATATTATTTTTTTTTTTACACCTGTCCCCCTCAAGTTAATAAATATGTTGTTCTTCCATTTGTCTTTGGTGGTGGTGTTTTTGATTCACCTATTGCTTTTTTCCAAATGCTCCATGGGATCTAGTACCTTACATCTATCATATCAAATGAAACACTGAAACACATCAAATCACCTATCCGTTTCAATTTCCCCCTCCCTCACCCCTCCATTCTCTTGCTCCAAAATGTGCATGTGACTCTCTAGTCCTGGAATAGCTGTCATCCTGACACTTCCCTTTGCCCTTCTCTTATATTGGAGCCTTGGTTTTAGGAATCTAGTATCTTCCTTTTGGTTTATTCCTTTATTTTGCTGAAGCCCTTTCTCTAGTAATTTCCTAAGGAAGTTCACATTAGAGATTCAGTCCTTGCATATCCTAAAATGTAATAACTGTAATGACTCCCTTTACCCAGACTCAAATAAAAGTCTCACTTCACTTATGAAACTTACAACCAGCAGTGAGCTCTGCCTTGTCTTACCTCTCACAATATTACCTTATCATTGATTAGCCATATACAGCCATTGTGTAATTTCCTTGTGATATGCATTTTATCTTTCACTTTAATAAGAGTTATTAATTTGTATGAAACCTTCAAAGCATCTACTTCAGCGTTTTATACAAAAGTGACTTGTTTGGCTCTTTGTAATCCCTAGTCCCAGGAAAGGATTCTATTTCTTCTGTTAATGTGGATAAAATGTTTATTATTTTCACTTTGCATCTGAGGACATTTTAGATTAGAAAGAGAAAGGGGTATAATCCAACTGCAAAAGGTTAGGGCTCCAAACCAATAAGCATATCATAGGACATTCCTTAGGACAATTGAAATAGAACTTGATATGAAAATACATCTTTAATTCCATACACTACAGCAAAGAACTAGACATGTTCCAACCATAGTGTATTCCCTGCTGTTTTTTTAATCACAATATAATTATCCTATCAGTCATGCTGATTAATTCAATTACATACGTCCAGTGCCAACTTGAACCTGTTGAGAATGTAAGTCGGTACTTTACAAGCCATGTTGTCCTTCCTATCTTGACCATTGTAAGATATTTCTGTTTTTAACAAGGACTTAATGTGATAGTTACTTCATGCCAAGTATATTTTAAGTGTTTTATGAATATTAACTCATTTAATCAGGACAACCAGAGGAAACAAGTGTTATTATACCCATATTACAGGTGAGGAAACCAAATCACAAAGGATTTGCCTATGATCACACAGCTCACAAGTAGAAAGAGATGGAACCAAGATTCAGCTCGAGGTCATCTGACTTTAGGGTCCCTGCACTTAGCCACCGTGCTCTGTAGGTTTACATGTGCCTACTGGGACTGTGGTAAACTCTTCTTGATGCTAAGCCTGCTACTGACTATGTTCCCCAGGTCTGGGAAAGATGTGTGTAGTAAATTGACCAGGCATTCTTAGCTTCACAGTTGTTCATGCCCTTCTGGTTGAGACACCAGACCATACTCTGGGTTTTTCTAACATCACTGGCTGCCTCTTCTCAACCTCTCTTCCTGTTCAAGATAAAAAGCCTTGGAGTCCTGCTTCCTTTTTCTCTTTCTGTCAGATCTTCCCTTATCTAAAATTAGTTTCCTCCTAGGGTAACATGTAGTGTTTTACCCTATTTGTTTTTTCTTCACAGCATGTACTACTATGTGATATAACATATTTATTCATTTCACGTGTATGTTGTATGTTTCCTCCTCTAACATGTAAGCTCCATGATGGACTTGAATCTATCTTAATTTGGGTTCTTTTCAGATGTTCTGTTTCTTTTTCAAATTGTATTATTATTCATTTTATTTTAATTAATTGAATTATTTTACTATTTCACATTTCCCTTTAGTTATTTAGAGATTTCGCTCTCTGATTTACAATTTTAGATAAAACATGCATGCTTAATTCATCGGTGTCTAAAATCTGAAACAAAGTTATTGTCTTTCTTCTGGATAACACAAGGATCTTCGGATGCTTTAATTTCATTACCCATTCTTTCAACATATATAAAATTATTATCTAGTATTTTAGGTGTATCTTTTCTTTGAATCTCAATAAACATTATTAGTATCACTACATTTTAGAATTATTTTTAAAAATGTTTACCCAGACTTTTATCACTTTCTTTGCTTTTCCTTCTGCATCTCTGATCTCCATCTGGGATCACTGTCCTTTTGCCCAAACTTTCTGTGGACTTTTTCAGTTTTTGTCAGTTTGAACTGACAAAACTCTTTAACACTTCCTTAGGGTTCTTTGACAACCATTCAGGAATGGAAGAGGTGGGAATATTAAAAGAAAATTATCATAATTCCCCATAACCGCATAGCTCCGCTTATCTGAATTCAGAACATTCCACCGTGGGCAAAAATACTTCATTTATCATGCCACGGTTCACCTTTACCAGAAATATGTGTAAGCCAAGAAAAGACAGAAGCCACACTTTGGGTTCTGGTACCAAAAGATAGAAGTTCTTTGTTTCAAGCCCAGAGTTTTTTACACCATGGGCAAAACACCAGAGTAATGCTGAGGATAGGTGTGATGTATACCTATCTTTTGGGGAAGGGCAATTGAAATAAGGGAGATAGGAAAGAAGAACTCGTATACAGGTAAATAAATTTCAGTAAAAAGTACATATGTTTGTTGACTATCTGAAAGTTTGTCCTTTGGTCCAGAATACCATCAGCCTCCAGAATAGCACAATACCCCCTAGAATACCTTGTGTTTCCTTAGGAGTATCTATAGCCCAATTTGAAAACACTAGACTAGCATATAACTTGCGAATTCACAAGAATGTTCCTGCCAGGCTCTTAAGAAGAACACAAAAATCAAATATATGTAGCCTTTCAATTTCATAAGAGCAGCACATGGATCGTAAGAATAGAAGTAGCTCAGGAGCTCGACATTATGTTGAGTGGCAGTTAAATAAAGCAGGTAAG